TCAATCTTTGACAACTATTTTTTCTTTATTTTTACTGTCTCCATAGTTTTATTTTGCTCTGTATAATTTTAACTGTGTCTGTAAGACAGGGTACAATTCAACAAGGCTGATATAATTTAATATGAACCATAAGATGCACTCCATTATAGACTAAAAACTACATTAGCAACCAATACTTGTAACTCTTGCTTAATCAACTAAACCTAATTGATAACATGCTATGTGCAAGTACTATTTTAAAGAGAACAGTAGGAAATAGGGTCTCTGTCCTCGTGGAGCATACATTCAAATTGAGGGGTTAAGAGAAGGTAAATTAAAAATTAAATGAAATTTTTAAAAAAAATGAGCAAGTGTTGGCAAGGATTTCCCAACTTATTTGAACATGAAGCCACCACAGATTTTGAAAAGTAACGTGGCATGATCTGGCCTGTGTTTTTAGATGACTACTTTGGGTCTGCAGAGTATCCTTAGGATGGTCCTTTAAAATAAATGCTAAAACTAAGACATCAGAAAGAGAAAAGACATCAACACAAGTCCCACAAAGTGAAAATGGAGCTTCCTTTTTCAAAGCCAATGGCATCATATACACAACTCTCCTCACACACCGCACAGACAAAAGAAACATCCAGTAAAGATGTAGGTAGTGTCTTCAGTCTCATCCGTGGTGTGCTGACTGTACCATAGTTTTACTCAATTGCCTACCAAAATGAGAAGTCACTTCTATAGGGAACTAATACTGAAGGCTTCATTATAAGTATCTGTGCTTTTCATGTTAACCTTTTACTTCAGATTTTGTAAAAAATCTGGCTCTGTGTGCCTGCAATTATAAGCTAACAGCTAATATTCAGATTTTGCCTTGACAGGTAAAACTGAAAGGACAAAACACCATCTCACACTTGGGATGCAAAACAGAAATTGCACAGCCTCAGCCTGGGTGTCATTCTGCTTATTACAGACCCAGCTCAAGGGGCCAGCTGCCCTCTCCATGAATGATTTTTCTTTCTTAGTTTACAAGGGAATAAGTGATGTCTACTGTCTGTCTCTATGGCAACTAGTACCCTAATTTCACCCCTTACATGGCAATTATACCTATTCACCGAACAGCTTTCAATCCCCACTTTTATGATGAAAAACTTGATTTTGTGAAAACTGCGACACAGGTAGTAGGTGAGCTCCCCCGGCAGCCCCATCCATTCACTCGGGAGCAGAGAGTGCTCTGCAGAGATTTTCCTATTTCAGATATAAGATGTTTATCCCAGATGCTGTTCTTGCAGGTATTTTTAATGATGAAGTATTAGTCTATTCTTCCCTGACAGTTACTTCATTCAATATAAAATGTATCCTGTCGATTATAAAGTTTGGTAAATAGGGGAAGCACATAAGAAAGCAGAAATGAGAAAACAAAATTCACTCATATCAAACTAAAATAATC